CCCGCGACTGAGCATGCCCGGCGCGCCCGGCCGCGCTCCGCCGCCGTCCGCGAGTCCCCAGGGGCGCGAGTGCGAGAGCGAGCGCTAGGCGCGGCGGGGGGCGGGGCTAGGGGCGGGGTCAAGAGGGGGCGGAGTCAAGAGGGGCGGGGCCAAGAGGGGCGGGGGGGCGACCTGGGGGTCCCAGCGCCCCGCCCCTTCCCCAACCCGCACGCCCCGGGCGTCCAGGGGCTTCCTCTCGGCCCACTTCCTGGGGAACCGCGGGGCGCCCCTAGACACTCTGAGCAGTGTATGCGACTTCCAGAGCGGCTTTGGAGGCGCGAGGAAGTGGAGCACCTGGCAGCGCCCGCGGAGTTGGGGTCCCGGCCCTCGCGCCCCCGCCCGCCCCGGCCTCAGCGCGCGCCCCCCGGGGCCTGCTGAGGATGCTGCGTCGGCTCCCGCGCCGGACCCCAAAGCTCGCCTCGCGCTCCGCTCCCGGGCTCGGAACTGTTCACCTTCCGGGCCCTTTGGCCGGCCCCGCGAAAACCTCCCTGAGAAAGCCGCGGAGACCCGGGTCGGACCGCGCATGCGTCGGGGGCGGCGGCCGGGTCCCGCCGGATTCTCACCTCCCGCGGCCCGGCCGCTCCGCCCCATCCCGCAAGGCTGGGACCCTGCCGGAGACCTGGAAGGCTGTCCCCCCCGCGAGCCTTGCGCCGGCTGAAACAGCCCGATAGCGTTTGTGAATCCTTAATTTGGGACCACCAACCCTACCTCTTTTTATCACTACCCTTCGAAACCAAAATGTATTTAAACTGCTTGTGCCAAGCACATCTGGAACTCTTGCTGTCCCAATAAATGAGATCTTTAGCCACTCTTCCCCAACGTGTCCATTCAAATTTTGAAAATAAAAATAATTCCAGTTTGGTGGGATTATATATCAATTTGTAAGTTCTGGGGTTGGTTGGTTGGCTGGTTGATGGGAGATGGCTGGTGGTGGTACTGAGGATTGAACCCAACACCTGTGCACAGAATTACCAGACCATTTTAATTTAAAAAATTAAATTTGTTTTTAGACAGAGTATTGATAAGGCGCTCCGTTGCCTGGGTCTGGCTTCAATTTGTGAACCTTCTGCCTCGGCGTCCCCGAGTGCTGGGATTACACACTTGTGACACCACACCCCATTCATTCGATAGCTTAATTAGATACCTGTAGCTTAAATTTTCTATCGTGGATCATATTAATTTTGTAAGGCAGTCAAACTCATTTTTAAAAGAATATGTGGTCTGCTGAGGACAGGGATTGTGGCTTTTCTCACTGGGGTGTGTAGAGCAGCAGTATCCTGTGTTCCCATTCCCTGGGGGGAATGTGTTTGAAGACCCCCAGTGAGTATCTGAACCCGTGGACAGCAGCACCAAGCCCTACAAGTAAATTTGCGGCTGGAAGGGTTGGTAGTCCATTGGTAGGACACTTAACTAGCGTTGGTCAAGCTCTGGGTTTGAGCTCCAACACCATAGAACTGCGCATGCGCGCGCACGCACGCGCGCACGCACACACACACATGCCCTTTTCTATATATGCATACCTATTAGAATATTTAATTTACAAATCATGCACAGTAAAAGATAATGAACAATAGTGAAATAGGACATTACAGCAATCTACTGTAATAGAATTTATGTGAAATTTATGAATTCTTTGTTTCTGGAATTTCTCGTTTAATATTTTCAGTCTGCTGTTGACTGCAGGTAACTGAACCATAAAAAATGAGACCATGTTGGAGTGGTGACTACTGTAAATCATATTAAACTTTAGACACAAAATGCAACACATCAAAATCACCATTTAATACAAGGTCTTGTATATGGAAAAGCTAAATGGAAAAGTCTCATTAAAAAGGAAGAGATAGTAAATGAAAATGACGGATTTTATTTCAAGTAGCATCAATTCACCCTCAAATGCCATAAATTATTCCCAAAATCCAGATTTCAGATATTTTATCAGGAGACAGACCTTGATGTGGAATCCAAACTGTGCTTCCTAACATGACCTTGAACACATTCATTCCTCTAATCTTCAGTTTCTCTGTCTCTAAAATGGGAAGATAGTGCATACCTCATATGGTTTTCGTGCAAATCAAACGATACCACACAATGCTGTTTAAAATGCAGCGTGTAAACAGCGTGTAAACACCCGAAGCTTGCAAGGAAAGGAGCATCTTGAACCTTACAGTAGACTGAATGACTCCAAACCTGAATTACAGCAAGATTCCCAAATGAGATTCATTTTCAGCGAAGTCTAACAAGCACTGATACAACACATAACATGTGTGGGGCCTGATCCACAGTAATAGCGCAGGAGCACGGGGCAAACATTATCTAAAAGCAACTACCTTTCACTCACTGAAAGGCAGAAATGACCCAATTCTATTTCAGTTTTTAAATTCCATGTATGTTCTTCATATTAAATATGACTTCAAAATATAATGCTTTTCCGATGTAGTAGATCAGAGAATGGGTAGATGTGCAAATGGAGAATACGTGCAAGATAAGAAAGACCTGGAAGAGGGCTTGGGGAGAAGAAGCGGTCTTCCGGTAAGCTGCGAGCTGCTGGCAAGAGGCGAGCAGTACACAGACGGGAAAGCAGCGCGCCGGAGCCCAGAACAATGGCGATGGCTCTGCAGCTGAGCTGGTGGCTGCATTCCTGTTCTGCAGTGTCTTCCTACCCTGGGAAAATGCTGAGTTGGGAGATAGAGGCCAAGGGGGCAATGGTTGACACCGGACTTCCCCGAGGTCCACTCCCTGGAGACCCTCCACAAGCCCTGCGGCACACCATACTCTACCATTCACAACTGTCAAGCCCTCTGCTGGGTCCTTGGTCCGCATTGCTGCAGTAGAAGGCGCACTCCTCCTCGCGCAGTACACAGGTGAGAAAGCTGAAGGTCAAAGGCGTCAAGCACCCTCTGCATGGCCCAGAGCTCAGTAAGAGGGTGCGCAGGCCTCTCCACATCTGCCTTGCTCCTGCTCGGAGCTGTAGCCCTCTGTGTAAGAATTAACAAGCGTGCTGATTTCAGCATCTGTCTCCCTGTGGCACTGCAACACTGTGAAGGCCGGGGCAGCGCCCTGGTCGTCTTCAAATCCCTAGAACCAACCCTGGTTGAATGTTGAAGCCCTCGATGAATAATAAACATTGACTATTAATAAATGCATGCTGAGCTACGTCGGCCCCCTTCCACCTCTCCAATGCGTTCAGCCTCTCTCTTCCTAGCAGTGAAAACCTCAGGAAGGTCTTGCCTGCATGAAGAAAAGGTCTGCTCTTGCCTGAGTCCGAGCATCCTGCGTCTGCACGCTGAGCCGGCCGCCCTCTGCGCTGCTCCTACACTGCTGCGCTGTTTGGACTTCGCCTCCGCCTTACGAAGAATGAAAGTGCGACATGTGGCGCCCTTGGCTACAGACGGCCCAGCTGATTTTGGGTATCAGATACCGGACCGTTTTCCACTCTCAAACTTCCACCATAATCAGGAAAATGAAGAATGAGGACTTCATGAGACTACGCACAGGCTCTCCTGTTCCCAAAGAGAGTCACGCAGGGCAGGGAGCCACATAAATTCATTACTGGCCGCAGCTGCACACAATCCTGAGCAATTTTTTCTTCTCATCCTTTCAACTCCTCCATTTGCAGAAGTATTACAGTCCATCTGCCTCCTGAATTTAGAAACCCAAGCTTATTTTATTCCTTATTTATTTCCTACTTTAAGGCGCAAGAGAAGTTTATCAGGGCTGGTCAACAGCGTCTCAAAGATGAACAGCTTCGGATAGAATTAAAGATGCAGAAACATAAATATTGTGAGCCACAGCCTGAAATTAAAGCTCTCAGTCTGCTGGGTTAATTTTCTTCAATCATAATTATTGTAGTTTGATTCATATAAACAAGAAGGATGTGGGACTTAAGCTCCTGGAAATTGGACACTGTTTTAAAAATAAAATGTAGAGGGGCCGGGGAGATGGCTCAGTGGAATAAGAGCTTCCCTGGCAAGCGCAAGGCCCTGAGTTCAATCCCCGGTTCCGCCAAAAATAAAAATAAATAAAATGTAGAAAACTGTGTGAAGATAGGACAGAGATAGAGTAAGATTTCTGTCATTGTTCCTTTAATAAATGTACACAAATTTGTGTGTATGTAAAGGTGCGGGGTTTAGGTGCAACTGAGGAGGATCGTTAGGGGACCATAGGATTTCTCTTCCGACATTGTCGAGCCTGGGGGATAAGCATCAGTAACAAAAATGATGACAATGTTTGTTACGCCAAATGGCACTTACTAAGAAATTTTCTTGGAGCCATTTGTGAAGAAAATAATTTCCAAAGAACTCAGAAATTAAAAAGGAAGATGAAGATTTGACTATGGGTTTGTACATGTGGAAAAGGACTGGCTAAGACTAACTGAGGTCCACATACATAAAAATATAGGTGCTCCTCCTCTTTCATCGTGAGGAGAGGTGGAGAGGAAATGAAGCTCCAACAGTTCTCATGGTCAAGTAGACTGCCTTCCCGCTGGGCCCCTCCAGAGCCATTTCACAGTAAACGCACTACGGCTCTCACTGCAGTCCTCAAGCCGTACCCCATGCTAGTGCATTGTGGGACATCAGTAGCAATACATGTTCTGCTTTAAAGATGACTAACGGGCTCAGGTGAAGTGGAAAGAGCTAGATAGCTCCATACGCTCCCATCAACAACGAAGGACCTTCATCTAATTTTTGGAACACTGACGTCACATTTGCATGTTGGTTAAAAACAGATTACCAAAGAAAGAATTCTTGATAGTGAAAAGGCAGATATTTAAATCTCCTGTGAAGAAACAATTGTTGGGAGTTCTTTGTTTCATTGTTCCCACAATATCCTCTGTGTATCACAATGATTA